AGAAATGACCTTGCAACCTTATCAACTCCAAACACCCTACCCGAAACACTTCACCCAACCCTATGCCCTGAACCTATAAGCCACTTTAGGCCCAAGGTTGTCTGACATAATCCCTCTCAGCAATCCTCGGAACCCTCAAATGCCAGTCCCAAAAAGGTATCGAGAACTCGCGATTGCAGATAGACCCGACAGCCCAACCTGGAATCCTAAAGCCCAACCCTAAGCCCGCCTTCACCTCAGGGTTTAGGGGTTTAGGGTTTGGGATTTAGGACCTTTAGTGCTTAGGGTTCCTTAATAATAATATACTATTATAAAACGAAACAAATTATGCAACAGCAGCTTATACTTCATTCCTGAACCCGAAACCCTAGTCTAAACCCTGAACCCCAAACCCTAAACCATGAACCCCTAAACCCTGACCCCCTCAACCCTAAACCCTAAAAGCCCTAAACCCTTAAACCTAAAACCCTTAAGCCCAAAACCCTTAAACCCCTAAACCCCTAAACCCTAGACCCTTAATCCCTAAACCCCTAAACCCTTAAACCCGAAGCCCCTAAACCCTTAATTATAACGCCCTGCTATGGTAATTTATAAGGAACCCCTGTAGTGCAGATATAACGGAACGTCTAAACCCCACCTGAAAGTCCTGAACCCAAGAGCCAACCTAAGCCCTAATCCCACAACCGCTAACCCGCAAACTGCAGAGCCGAATAGCCCTAAACTCACGCTAAGACTTGCAACCTTTCTGGGCCTAGGAAGCCCAAGCTGAGAACGGCGCTGCTGGAAGATGGGCACCCCTTCAAGGATGCTCTTGAGATCGCTTTGGATTCGGCTCGGGCTGAGTTCGAGGGCAAGAAATCCGACGACATCAGCCCTGAGATCTACGAGCAGCGTGCTAAGGACCCTCGGGAGTGCAATCACTGTTCGTTGCTAGCTCGAAGTCTTCTAGATCCCAAGCTATAAACCAATAGTAAATCGGAGCATCCTCAGGAGATCACGGAAGCAACGGAGAATCTCAAGAAGCATGGTTCTGAGCTGAGGAAAGCTGCCAACACTGCGAAGAAAAATTCAGGGCTTCCTTCTGCTAAAAGCAAAGTTGCGAAGCAGAAGAAGAAAGCCTGATCATTGGGCACCCGACATATGCGAGGGATGCGATCGCCACCGGTGACACATAGCCTGAACACAGCTGAATTGGCACAGCGAGCAGTATAGGGTGCAAGGCTACCTCCGGGGCTGTTTTGAAAGAGGTAGTTGCAATGGCCTCTCAGATGCTGTGCTGGCTCAGAAGTCTGTGTCTGTGCGCTTTTCAAGGGGAGCAGCAACCTAGGTCTTGCTGGCTTGATGGCACTGAAGTACTGCTATCATAGGATCCTGCTACATCTTCTGGTTCCTAGTGGCAACATGCCAATAGCTGTCGGGTTTTGATGCCCCTATAGCCCTGCCTACGGTGCTGCTATCAGAAGCCTTCGAAAATCTCTCGTGGGGCGATGGAAAAGGGTTGACATGTTTAGTGCTGCCGCAGGGGTGTGCCGCATGCCAGGTCGCTTCCAAGCCATTCTAATGCTTATCACCAATTACCCTAGATCTACTATCGGGGAGCACGGCTACGCAGGTGATGGGCCCGAGAGCAATGCACCCTTCGCTGCTTTAGTGTGCCTTGGCAAATTAGATCCTATAAATTTTGCACATATCTCGACCCCCATGGCTTAACCTCTATGCCCCAAGCTCCTGGCCAAATATGCAATGCTCCAAGGGATCTCGAATGATGTAGCTATAGGGCCACAGGGGTACTGTGAGTTTTCTTAGGGGGTTTGGCTTCGATCAGTCTGGGTGGGCACGATTGTGGGCTGGGGGTTCGGATGCAAACGACCGACAGATGTTCGCTAATAGGGTTCAATTCTGGTGTAGGGGACCGGCTTAAGGGTTCACCGGGTACGAGAATTAAGGGTTGGGGGGTTTAGGGTCAACGGTGCACTAGGAGTACTAAGTAGGGTTTTAATTGTTAAGGTTTGGGGTTTAGGGTTAAGTTTAGAATTTAGTAGAGCTGGGCTTTGGCCCGTGTATGTACACCTACTAGGTAATCCGAAGCTTTCTCGAAGAGATCATGTGAATTGCACCCGTCTAGATACAGCTAAGGCTATCAGATGTGGGCGCCGGCAATAAATCGGCGCGAGAAGCTTTGGCAGCTGCAAGAGCAGCCACCGAGGATGGGTTTGGGTTTTACGCTCCTAAGCTTAATCCCTGAAGCCTATCAATCCCTGCAAGATACTGATTGTAATACCTCGATGCCTTATCCTGATTCGACTAAATCCCTCAAGCTTCGGGCTTATTGTCTAGAACCCAGAACCTCAAGGCAGATTTAAATACATGTACAATTACCGTCGGGGGGCTCGCGATCAATTGTTGGAATGCTTAGAGATTGTATTGCTGCTAAATTGAGGCCCTTATGCTCATGATGGATAAGGTATTCTCGTTCAATTATTAAATGGGTTAATGGTTTCGGGCCTGGTATAGGGTTCAGGGTCCAGGGCTTGGGGGTCAGGTTTTTGTGTCTCTTTGATGTATTTGGGCAAGGCTTCGGGGTTAGGTATATTCATGCATTTCTGTCGAAGCCCCTAGCGCTATATATTACCCGGATCTTCACTCTACACCCTAGGAGTTTAAACCCAAGAAATTCCAGTCGGAGCCGAGTCCCCAGCCGCATCTGAGTCTTCGCCATGTGAAGCCTTTAGGGACTTTAGGGCTTAGGGTTTAGGGCCTGGGTTTGGGTGGGTGGGAATTTGTCCATGTTCCGAAGAGCAAGCTCGACTAGATACAGCTCGATCCGGAGCTGCTGAACCCTAGACCCCTAAATCCCCACACCCCTATAAACCCTAGACCCCTAAACTTTAGACCCCTAAACCCTCAACCCCTAAACCCCTATAAACCTTAAACCCCTACACCCCTAAACCCTACACCCTAAAACCCGTAAAACCTAAACTCTAAACTCTAAACCCCAAAAGCCTAAACCCTAAAGCCAAGCGCTAAGTCCCAGGATTCCAGGATCCTCCACGTAGGGTTTATCTGCAAAGTCGGGCTTGGGCTTCCCTTTCGGGCTCCTTTTAGGGTTTGGGGTTTAGTGTGTCAGGGTTTGGGGGTTTAGGGTGTAGGGTGTCCTTTCAACCGAAGCCTTTAGGGCTTAGGGTTTAGGGCCTGGGTTTGGGTGGGTGGGAATTTAGGGTTTAGGGTAGCCTTCAGGGTTTAGGGTTTAGGGCCTGGGTTTAGGGTTTGAGGGTTTAGGGTTTAGGGGGTCCTATCAACCGAAGCCTTTAGGGCTTAGGGTTTAGGGTTTGTGTTTCGGGTGTGGGGGTTTAGGGTTTAGGGGTCCTATCAACCGTGAATCCAAACCCAATAATTCCGAAACCGAAAAACCTGTAGACTCTGCCCAGGTCAAGACAACCACCAAGCCCAAGTCACTAGGAGCTCCTATGGCTAACATCGATCCCCAAATTCCGACTGTCAATCCAACCAAATAATTCCGAAAACCGAAAACCCCGTAGACCTTGCAAAGGCCCCAAAGAACAACCGCTAAGCCCACTGCAAGCTCGTATTGCTGTCATCGAGAAGAACCCCAAACACCTGCTATGACTGTATAGGTGCATACGATGGCTCGTGACCATGCAATTGTATGAACCCTCAGCACCCATAGGTTCTAAACTGTTGAAATTTTGGTTTGCTCCTAGGGCTTCTGAGAGCCAGGTATACTTGCCATGACAATGCCAGCACAAGCTGTGTGATGTAGCAACTTTTCGAGGCTTCTGCTTGCTCCTGCCATTTTTGGTCCGGTGTCTTCGGTTCCGTCGGACGTCTCAACCGAGCAGGGCCGCTGGTGTTGAACGCCTGGTACTCCTCAGACTCCAAAGATTCACGCATGACCTCCATGCGCTTTCGTCTTCTGGTGCTGCCAAGTTGTTTCTGCAGCAGGTCAGCATTCGTTCCCACAGGCAACTGGTGTCCCTAGCTATTCTACGAGGTATTAATTGTCACTCCTGGAACCCTGAATCCCTAGAACCTAAACCCTAATCCATACTAACCCTGCTCGCATGATCTTTCGAGGATGCATGACTCGATGCCATGCAAAGCTATAAGACTACGTTCGGATTACGAAGTTCCATTGCAGATGGGGCTTAGGGTTCCGGGGCTTAGGGTTTAGGGTTTCTTGGAATCCCGTTAAATCACCAGGATCAGATCAGGGCCTAGAAGCCAAAGCTCTCCGGTCTGTATTATAATTTATGTCTGCATGAGACCTGCCGGTTCAGCCTTGTCGTCGTCGTGCGTCGCCACACACGGGCCATGACCTTGTCAGATCTAGGAGTCTGAGGTCTTCGAAACGATCAACCCTCGTAATACGGTCTGATGATGATAGCCTCCTTTCTGTGGAGGAGTCCGGGACCAATGTCTCGAAAGCTACGCAGAAGCTGGCAAAGCTGGGTGGCGAAAAGCTAAAGAATGCTTCTCGTGATTTGTACCGCTGGTGCAAACTCCCTCTCGCAACGTGGCACAAACTATTCGTAGCTCCTTCTCCCCAACCCAGCCTTCGTAGATCACATCTGATCGGGCATGGCAGCACATGTGGCGATCGAGTGAGGCTATATACTATATGTGATGATTCTGTGATCATGATTGTTTATTAAATCCTAGGCTTCCAAGGACCTGATAGTCAGGGCCCCAGACCCCTTAAGGACCCAGTAATGAGGTTCGGGGCACATTTTTTCTTTACGTCGCACTCGGATCTCCCGAGGAGATGCACTGGGTCCAAACTACTGTGCGCCTAGCGCCGCAGAGTGAGGAAACTGTCCAGCGAAAACTGCCAATGCTTGATCCTCACGAGCTTCTTCGTTGGCTCTGGGAGACGAAACGAGTCTGTGTGTCAAAGGCAGCGGTTGAGCAACTTGTTGCAATTATTGCATTGGGCCCGGGCAGACTTTCTTTGTCCGGCTTGTGCTGGCTATGCTGCTGAGGTACTACTGGTCCCATTTCAGACGACTGAATGTTGAATGGGCCTGCCAGCACCCAGCTGAGGGGACGATCCCTATCAGTGTGCCTCGATCGAAATAGCTCATGTCCTGACACGGCAGTGCTAGGCTGGACGTGCGAATGTAAACGCTCTGCACTGGCTGCAGGTCTATGGTGACGAGGCAACGTACTCCAGCCTGCAAGACAAGTTCCTGGCACTGAACCTGTCTTGTCCTCTTTTCCGGCCGAAGGGAGACCCGACGGCATGGTAGGCACAATCTGTGCAGTGCAAGCTGCTGCTTGATCCCACCTTGGAGCTAAGGAAAGTCATCCTGGACCAAATACTGGCTCTTCTTCATCGTCTCCAGTGCCATACACCTGGGGAACGTGACTCAGCTATCATAGATCTTTTGTTCATGAAGCTTGTAACCCGGCCCGGCAGGTCACGCTGCGTCCAATTTTATGCCGTGCTGTCTGGAGCCTCAACCTGGCTCGGAGGAGCTTGGAACCTCAGCAGTCTCCTTCTCCTTTTTCGTTTGCTGTTACCGAACTAAAGGGTGATTGGCGTTGGTTTTTGGATATCTTCGAGCTGCGAAGATACTGGAAGGCAGCTCGCGTATGCCATCGTTGTGACGCCTGTCGCATTCCCTCGCATGGTGGCCGAATGTTCACGAAGTTCGGTGAGATCGAACAGTTTGCACAAACGAGCACAGCGCAGTTTATATTGCAGGTCCTGCCGGACCAACCATGCCCATTGATCAATTTGGACGGATTTCATATTCGGCTTATTAAATGGTGTACCATGCATGTCAACAATCTTGGTATCTACCAGGTGGTGACGGCGGAAGGTCTCCTTGCTGCCGCAGAAGCACACGGCCAAAATGGATTCCGAGACACGTACAATGCATTTCGCCGATGGTGCACAGCAAAAAGGATCTCCTGCTCAGTCCGAGCGTGGAAGCTCAAGCATTTTCACTTGGGCCCAGATCCCATGAATCCGACGCAGCACCCATGGGTCAATTTCAAAGCTTATAATTGCCGTGTGGTGTTGGGGTGGCTTTCAGACACTAGGCTGCAACGCTCTAAGCCTGCACTCCAGATTCCTCTCCCTGATTGATTATATCAGGAAGCGCTGAGCTCCTCGACTTTCCTGGACACTCTGCAAAGGCGCCCTCGTGAGGATCTGGATGCTTGGACAGCGAGAGCCACGTCTGGCAAGCTGGCCTGCAAGACTGTGTGTCTCGCAAAGCAATATAATCAACCTCTGTTGCCGATCCTGTAGTTACTCAGCCGAACGGCCTCGGTCTTTTTAGGTGCCTGCTGGCGGATTGGCAGAACAGGTACGAGCAGTATCCTCGGTATTTGGATGAGACGCAGGCAGAGGACCTTCGTCAGAGAGGCGTGCCAGAATAGTACTGTCGTAGTACCCACAAAGCGACTATGAGCTGTTGCTATCCAGCAGTGCTAGCTGGTACGATGGAGGTATCGCCTACCTCCACTCCCACTTGCAAGCAGCTCATCATGCTTCGAGCTGCCATCAACTGAGATGGGCTCTCCTGCCTAAACACCACGACACCCGCTTGCAACGAAGTTCTGGTCTGTTGTAGCAACATGTGTTGGCAATTCCTTGCTGGCTCTGCAAGCCTAGGCCTTCGATGAGACACTCCATGATATGACCATGGAGAAATACAGCAGTCGCTTCTACCACTGTTTTGGCGAGGAAGACCTGAATGGTCGCTGACTTGCATCTAGGGCGACAGATACAGAGATGGAGAGGGTGAGAGAGAGAGAGAGAGAGAGAGAGACGAAAACAATGCTGCCACCATCCAAGGTCGCTTGAAGGTGTTGGCCAGACAACATGCTGGACAGAATTTCGAAGGACGTGTGCTTCGTGCGTCGCTGCTCAAACTGGTCACACTGAAGCCTGATCTTTCTAGCAGCCTTTCGGCTGAATCTGATTCTGCACTTGAGCCTGCTTAGGGTGTCGGGACTTAGGGGTTTCGGTTTGGTTTTACGGGTTTTCGCTTCGTATGTTTAGGGTTTAGGGTTTTAGGGTTTAGGGTTTAGGATATACGTCAGTCCTGATTGATCACGAGGCATCTGATCATGAGATGTCATCTCGATGAAACTGTGGTCATGGGCTGCCAGTTCGCAAGTATCACGGCGGGTCATGATGTCGTTGGGTTTCCAACTTGCTGTAGCACGTTGACATGTGTTGGCTTTCTGAGGCTTCAGCGCTGATCAGATTGCTGGAGTTCGCAATGTCGCAAAATGATTCCGATGTGTCAAGCTCCATTCGTAATTTATAAGGCCTAGGGTTGAAGGGTTCAGGGCCTTAGGGTTTTTCTAGCTGGTTTGGATAGGGTCCAAGTGATCTAGGGTTTCAGGTTTCGCTGGGTATTCAGCCTAAGCCTATCAACCCGAAATCCTGAAACAGCTCTACACGCAAGATGCTCTAGCTAGCCAGGACCCTGGATCATAAGTCCTAAACCCACAACCCGAGTTTGCGAGCATGAGCTGCTGGTCGAGGTGCGGCGCAGGCCGCATCAGTTTAGATTAGGGCTTAGGGTTTAGGGTTTAGGGTGTAGGTTTTGCGACACTCCCAACCCTCGGCCGAATCCTTTTAGCTTCGAACCTAAGCAGGTTAGATTAGGGTTTAGGGTTTACCTATAGTCTCCATTGTAGTTCCTTTTTTTGGTTCAACCAATTCGATATTAAGGATCCTAAAAAGGTAACCCCAAAAAGGAACTACAATGGAGACTATAGGTAGGGTGTAGGTTTTGCGAAACCCCCAACCCTCAGCCGAATCATTTTAGCTTCGAACCTAAGCAGTTTAGATTAGCTGTTAGAGTTTAGGGTTTACCTATAGTCTCCATTGTAGTTCCTTTTTTTTGGTTCAACCAATTCGATAT